TAAATATATTGTAGGTTGGACAAATTAAGGGGCAGTGATTTATTCTATGGTGATGGAACACAGTTCACTATAAAAGGTCATTATCTCTAAAGCATTATTTATGAAAATATCCACTGTATCTATTTTTAAGGGATAAACCTACATATTTTGTAAATTTAGTTCTATAAAATTATAGTTCTATAAAACATTTGCATGCCCAAAGTCAAACCTAATTTTTTAATTAAGATCACTAACATAAAGCAAGATCATGTTTTTCATAGTCAATGTGGTACAATAAATGGGACTAGCCAGTGATGAAGCTGAAAATGTTCCATAGAAATACTTATTCTTCTATATATTTCATTAGCAACAATGATAATAAGGGGCTTGCTTTTTTCAAATCTTGGGGGTGGAAAATCTAATACTGTAATGGTCATAGCTAAGGAAAGTTGGGTTTAGAGTCTTAAAGTAGGAAAATATTTGCCTAACCTAACACTCATGTTCCAGATTAGAAATTCTGTAACCCAGGCTATAGAAAGCTGCCAAGCACCGTGACTTGCTTCATATACTGTAGTTCTCAAACTTTTACATTCACACATGCAAGAAATTCTCCTTATTCCACAGTGATTTGCAACCAGCAGAAATGGTCTGACTGAACATATGGTCATCGTGTGTATAAGGGAATACCATTCTTTGAGTTACTTAAAAAGCAATTCACAAAACAATCTACCCCACATCAAAATGTAGTTAACGTGTACATGTGTAGTATACCACTAGACAAAAATCCCCAAAACTTGGAGCTGTTCCAAACAAACCAAACAAATACAAAGTATCTGAATCTAAAAGCCAAGTAACACAGTAAAAAGGCGACACAATTTAAAATCCAGATTAAATTTTCAGTAAATATTCTAGAATTCTCACATAGTACTACATTCTGTGAGCATTTTTAGTAACTAAAAATATTAACAATTCTTTTTTGAAGCTGCTTGATGAGAGAATCTGAGGAAAGCAGCATTGTGTACTAAAGAAGATGAAATGGAATTATTTTATCATTTTATTTATCTGTAAAAAAATTGATGTCAGTAAAATAATTTTGAAAACTATATATAAATGCTTTCATCAAAAAATATAGATTTCCAAAAACACTAAATTTTAAGCTTTCTTTTTAAAAAAAAATTTAAGTGTTCAAAATATTCTTAAATGGGGGGAGTCTGTTAGGTTTGGAGAGGGAGTGCCATCTACAGATTTGGTGCAGTACCCACCACGCTGGGTACTTTAAACCAGAGGTGCACAAAGATGGTGGGAGTGAGGTATCTTGATGTTCATCATTATTTTGACTTACAGTCAGGACACAGTGCTCCAGGAAGGGTAACTGTTTCCAGCACACTCTCCCTCAGGATGACTCCTTAAGCAGCCCATCATCTGCTTCTTCATGTGAACCAGTGAGTGATTTCCCAGCACCCTTCCCAAATATTTACCCATTAAAAATGAAGAGGAAAGAGGCCTTCCCTGGTGGCTCAACGGGTCAGGACGCGCAGCACTGCAAGCTGGCAGCAACTGCTTCGTGAGAGTTCGATCCCTAGCCCCGGAAGGGCGGCAGACCCCTCCTGACCTGCCCGCTGTTCCCCTCAGCAGTGTACCTCATCAATCTGCCTGTTCTTCTCTCCACTCTGTCTCTGGTGAAGACTCTCACCACCCCTGCACCTCTGGCTTGTATCCTAGTTCTGTATGCATAAATAAATCATTTCAAAAAAAAAAAATGAAGAGGAGAGAAATTAAGCTGACTGCCTCATCCCATAATGAAAGGTCAGGGAGTGTCAATCAAAGGTAAAAGAAAACCTAGACAGGGAAAAAGGAAACCCCAGCTGGAAGAAGATGAAGAATATTGAAAATTTCCTCAGAAGAAGCTTAAATTCTTACGGGAGGAAGCAAAGGCCTAAAACTCAGCCTGATCCTACATCCCAGGCCACGCTGGGAAGGAACTGCCGGCTTATGCAGGAAGCAGTTTGGAGGAGCAATGGTACTTTGAAGTCACAGATACGGCAGCATCTCCTGTCCTAACTGCCAGGCAGTGGGAAGTAAGACCACAGAGGACTTAAAAAAAAATCTGGAGAACTGCAAGTAGGAAATATTTACTTATTGTGGGAAGCAGCTTCTTTTGGTGTCAGGGATGACATCTCACATCACAGCAAATCATAACAAACTGCCCATTTTGAAGGCTGGACATGAAACAGTTGAGCCAAATGAGAGGAAATGGCTCCAAATGGTTCTAACGGGGCAGGGAAAGCTCAGATACATGCAGAACAGCTGCTCTAGTAGCTTCACCATCATCATGGGATATCTGCACCATGTGACAAAATGCTGCAAAGGTGCTACAGAGTTGTCGAAGACTGCAAAGTCATGTACAGTCAAGGCTGGACTTGCTTATCACCTGAAATCATAGAATGGGCCTATCACTTTCTTTCCAGAGTCAGGACAATCAAAGCACTTGAGAGACTAGCTTGAAGTCAAAAGGTGGGAAGCATACATTACCTTTAGGAGCTAGCCTCTGCTGAGCTGTCCAAGGATGGTGTGAGAGGAGATGCTTCAGGATCCGGTAACTGGTGATGAGGAGACGATACATGCTGGGGTTCAAAAGTCAAAATAATGATAAACATCAAGATACCTCACTCCAGTACCATCTACACCATTTGGATGTCCAACATCTCAACTGAGAATGATTTACCTGCAGTTTGTGTCAGATCTTACACAGTAAGGACTTAGTCACACAAGACTGCTTCAATTTCAGATGCCAATTACTAGTTCCAGGTTGTCACCTGTAACTCACCCACTGGCTATTAATTGGGGTTTCCTCCACATCTATATGATTCAACAGAAGAGCATAAACTGGTACAAGGAAAGACTCTTCAATAAATAATGTTGGGGAAACTGCTCCATCATGTGCAAAAAACTGAAACTAGGGTATCAACAACAAATCGTTTACATCATTCACAAAAGTCAACTCAAAATGGAAAAGACTTGAATGTAAGACCTGAAACTATAAAACACATACAAGGGACCAAAAGCAAACACTTCATGATATAAGCTTCAGTGATGTCTTTCTGAATTTTCTAAACAATTGGGACAACATCATACTAAAAAGTTTCTGCACTGGGAAAGAATCTATAATACAAACAAAAAGACATTCTACTAGTTAGATAAAATATGTGCATACCATATATCTTATTGCGGTGGATATCAAAGACTTACAAAGACTTACAAAGAGTTAGTACAAGTCAAGAGAAAGAAAACAAATAACCCAATCAAAAATGGGAAGAAAAGCTAAGTAGGTATTTTGCTAAAGAGGAAAAACAGATAACAAACAGGCACATGAAAAGATGTTCATCATTTATCATCAGGGAAATACAAATCAAAACCACAATGATATGCTACTTCACCTCTGTGAGAATGGCCTATATATAAAAAAAAAAAAAAACAGAAACAACAAATGCTAGCAAGGATGTAAAGAAAAGGAACTCATAACACTGTTGGTGGGAATGTGCTCAGCCCCTATGGAAAGCAGCATGGAGGTTTTTTGAAAGATTAAAAATGGATCTGCTATATAACCCAGCAATTCCACTCCTAGGAATCTTCCCAAAGAAACACAATAACACTAATTTGAAGGGAAACCAGCACACCCTTGTTCACAGCAGCACTAGTTACAACAGTTAAGATATAGAAACAATCTAAATGCCCCAATACAGAGTAGTGATCAGGAAGATATTGGGTTGATATACATAATGGAATACTACTTGGCAATCAAAAATATAAATCCTTGCCATTCATGGCAACAATGGTAGAGCTGGAAGGGATTATACTAAGCAAAATAAGTCAGACAGAGAAAGACAAATACCAGATGGTACCACTTATAAGCAAAACATAGAAAAGTCAAAGGGTCAGATAAAACCAAATTTAAAATATGATTATAGGGTGAAGAATCCAAAAGGGGAGGGAAGGGAAAGGGAGAAGTGGGGAGGTATCCAGATAAGGAGGGAGCATGATGGACCAGGGTAGTAGACTGAGGGTACTTTGGTGGGGGCTGCACTATGGTGATAATACATGAAGTGGAGAACAATCTAGTCCCAAAATACAAACAATGTTGTAAGCCAAACACCACCTCAATTTAAAAAAAAATAATAAATATACTCTAAAATGTTATACTGTAACAGTAAGAATAATAATACTCAATGAAACTTAATGCTATCTTCAGTAGGAACTTTTTTTAATAGAATAAAGGAAATTTGTGACATACAATTCCAATATGAAAATAACTACTGCCAGTTGACTTTATACCATTAAGAAACCACTATAGATTCTACACCATTTTTCTATTACACCTAATCACTTGATAGATCTTCCTGCTAAATGAACTAGATTGTTTTTTAAAAAAATTTACAGTAGAAGATAAAAATCTAAATTTTGTTTAGTACTTTAAAAGCTTTCTTCCTCGTTTCCCAAAACATTCTAATTGTGACCATCACTAGAACTTAGTTTACAACAAATATAGATGAAAGTGGTTAAGAGGTAATCACTAATATATGCTTATGTATCACAAATACACACATAATACATATCAAACTTACTGTTAAGTTGCATGGATAGTTTTCCTCTGCAAATTGAGACTGAACACAGAAAATTCCAGAAGTCATAAATAAAGAAAAAAGCCAAATCTCTTGTTTTTCCAAAAGGTGTACAGAGCAGGCAGCAGACTTTTAAATGTAAACTTCTAGTACATACATGCCTCTTATTTTGTACCAAAATTTGAGTAAATATTTTCCAAGGACCAGGGTGGGAGGGTATGTTTTTTTCCCTCAAATTGAAAACTTTTGCCAATTAAAAAAGAAAGACTTAAATAGCTCTAATTATGAAAACAGTTCTCAAAAATACAGTTGTATTATAGTCAACTTGTTAATTCCATATGAAAATTTCAATATAATTAGTCTGTCACGTATTCAATAAATGTTAAAGGAACACTGAAAAATTATATTATGAGGAGTAATTACAAATGAAAATTGTTTATTGTATCAAAATTACGTGCACCTCTACAAAAGTTAGGGCAATTAATATAACAGCTAAAGCATATTAGCTAAGTTCAAACTTTGTCCCTAACGAATAGTTCTTTGACCAGTTATACTATATTATAAAATAAATAAGTTCTATGTAAACAGTTATTATTTTGTTGCTATTTTTTTCAAACTATAAAGTTCCTGCACTTACAAGACTGCAAACTGATAGCTCTTCAATTACATGTCTGCAGCTAATGATCTATAAACATCAATGGAAACAATATATAGTTCCAATCAGATATAACTTCCTTCAATATAATAACCTCAATATAATAACCGAGAACTTGTAACTGAGTTCAACACGTAGCCACATTTTAAGTTACGGATTTGAAAGGATGAATTAAGAGGCACATTTTACAAAATAGATGCAGTGTAACATCTTATTGTTTAATTTAGTCAATGAAATGTGTTTGATTTTATGGCTATCTGGCTTACTTCCCTTTCTGGGCAAGTTAGTTTGTAATTCCTACTCCTTATTCAAAAATCTACAGACTTAATTGTAAGAAAACTTAACTTGGCAATGTTAGTCAAAGACACTCTAACTAGCACCATAAGAACAAGTGCACTAAATTTTAACACTATTCATCAACAGTTCCATTTTCCTGAGTTTACGTTTGTTTTTTGGCATGGGTTTAGGATATAATCCATTCTTCAGGAGGTGTTCCTTGCTGAGGCGAATTTGAGCACCATGCTGAAGCTGGAAAGAGCATAAAGCTTGAAGTGGGCGAAGCAAAGTCTGTTAAGATAAAAAACAAATACTGAAAAATGTCAGTGGCAAATCATGATAATCTATTTATATTTTTGTCAGAAATTATAGTAAATTTTAAATTAATTGGTTCCAAACTATGAAAAGCACTAAGATTTCTAATAAATATGTACTGATTTCGAAGTGATTTCTTTACATTCACATCTTACATGTCACTAATTAATTCCCCAGGAACAAAATAAATCCTCTATGTAAAAAAAGAAAAAAAAAAAAACATTAATTTCTAAAAGGTTATCCAGTATGAAATCTGTGTTCTATGAATCCTCTCTCACCCACCACACCTCTGGCCTGTACCACAATTCTGTATGCCCAAATAAATCTTTTTAAAAAAAAAAAAAAAAAAAGTTTATAAAGTAAAATTTCAAAAATAGAGTAAGTTCTATATTAACAAAACCAGGCCCAAACTCAAGGGTTCCAAGGTATAAAATGTTCTGGTAAATATTATAGAAATGAAAGAACATCACTAATTTTAAGTGCAAAATTTTGCCAATCTATCAGGAAGATTCAGCAGACAAAAATGTTAACTCTTAAGAGTCTGGTGTCAGGTTACAGAGAAGAAAGCAAGCACAAAGCAATGACATTTGAATTCAAATCTGCTTTCACCACTCACATCATGCAATAGATATGCCTTTTCCCACGAGATACCGCCTTTTTATCAAGCTATTTCCAAGTGCCTGGAAAACTGATAAAGAACAAAGGATGAGGATGAATCGGCAGGCTAGGAAAGCTATTCCATGCCAAGTTCTTATTTTGAGAAGACCTATTTTTAGTAATGAAGCCGAGTGAAAAATTACTACTCTCCTCCATCATCTTACAGTTTTATTCTGTTTTCCATAATAAAAGGTTACCAGTGGAAATTGTAGTAATACCAGTAAGAGGATATAACACTAGTAAACACTTATGCACATAACATAGTAGTATCCAAATATGCTTAGGAAATGACAGGCCTAAAGAAAGAAATAGACAACAATGTGATTTAGAGGACTTTAATCTACTTGAGCCAATAGATAGATCACCTAGAGAAAAAAATGAATACAGAAAGATTAGATTTAAATAATATCACATCAAGTGGACTTAATTGATATATTCCACCCTAAGGCAACAGAATGCAGTCTTTGCAAGCACACACCTATACTTGGTCACATGAAAAGAATGAATTTGGGCTACTGTCTTATACCATACACACAAGTCAGCTCAAAATTGGTTGAAGATTTGAATGTCAAAACTTAAAACCATAAGAAAACAAGCAAAAAGTTCCTGGTCTTTGTGACAATTTTTCCATTTGACGCCAAAAGTAAAGCCAAGTAAGCAAAGAAAAACAAGAGGACAACAGTAAACTAAAATGCTTCTGTGAAGCAAATGAAACCATAAACAAAGTGAAATCACAGCCTATTGAAAGCGAGAAGATACATGCAAATCATATCACTGATAAGTATCATCTCAACCAAAATATATAAAAATGCGTATAGCTCAATTTTTAAAAGTCCAGAGTCAGTTTCCCAAAGAATATTGTTTTCCAAAGAAATATGTCTCTATCCTAATAGCCAACAGGTATATGAAAATGTGTTCAACCACTGATCCCATTAGGGAAATGCAAATCAAAACCACAATGAGATATAATCGCCACCTGTTAGATGGGTATTAGAAAAAGGACAATAAATAACAAGTGTTGCAAAGGATATGGAGAAAGGGAGCTCTTGTTGGTAGGAATGCAAATTGGTGAAGCTATTTGGGAAAAAACTGTAGAGGTTCCTCAAAAATTTAAAATAGAATTATCACATGATTGAGCAATTCCATTTCAGAGTATTTATCCAGAGAAAATGAAAACAAAATCTTAAAAAAATACATGCTCCTCCTAATCATTTCAACATTATTTACAAGACCCAAAAGACTGACCCAAACTATGCATCCATTAGAGGATAGCGGGATAGATAGAGGAAGTGTGGTATCATAACCGCACATATGATGGAATATTATTTGGCCATTAAAAAGAAGGAATTTTTGCCATATTAAGAACACAGAAACTTAAGGGGCTAAATAAAATAAATTAGGCAGAGCAAGACAAATGCCAGACAATCTCTCTTACATGTAGAATCTAAAAACAAAAACAAAAACCCAATAAATTTAAAAATAATAATAATAAGCTTATAGATGCAGAGACCAGATTGGTGATTAGCAGAAGTGGCGGAAGGAGCTGTGTCTCGGAGTGGGAGTGTGTAAAATGGGAGCAGTGGGTTAAAAAGTGCAAACTCAACCATAACGTACATCAGTCATGGAGACGTACTGTACAGCATGGGAACTATAGCTATTAATATCATATTGTATATTTGAAGGTTGGTAAGGGAGTAATTCTTAAAACTTTTCATCATAAGAATTTGCAGTTATATACCTTATGACTCTTAATGAGACATTTTTGTGATGATCATTTCAAAGTCTATACAAATATCAAAACATTATGCTGTACACCTGAAACTACCACAGCAATTATATCTATTTTTTTCTTATTTATTTATATATTTTTACACTGTTGTTCATTTTTGTACGATGTTCTATTTCTCCTCTCAGGTACTGTCGCCACAAAATTACTACCCAGCAAGACACCCGGGAACCATCACCACACTCTTGTGCTCTTCCCGCCCATAACCCCCTCCCATCCTCTACCCTGCTGAATATCTGAGATTTATAGTTTGCCTTTAGTTTTATCTTTTTTCTTTATTCTTATCCCTTGTAGAGTTTCCCTGTATCTCTCCTATAAGTGAAACCATCTGTTATTTTTCTTTTTTCCTTCTGACTTATTTCACTGAGCATAATCCTTTGCAGGTCCATACATATTGCCACAAATGACAAAAAAATTTCTTTTGTTTTCTGAGTATTGTATATACAACACATTGTCTATATATATACCACATCTTCTTGATCCAGCCATCTGATTAGAGATATTTAGGTTATCTCCTTATTTTAGCTATTTAAACAGTCCCACAATAAACATGAGAGTCCAGGTTTCCTTTTGAATAAATGTTTTTGTGACCTTTGGGTAGATTTCTAGGAATGGACTTGCTGAGTCACATGGTAGACTCATTTTTAGTAATCTGAGGGTCCTCCACACAGCTTTCCACAGTGGTTGGACCAGTTTGCATTCCCACCAGCAATGTAAAAGGATTCCTTTTCTCCACCTCCTTGCCAGCATTTATTGTTGTTATTTTGTTCGTTTGAGTAAAGATTTATTCTTTTTATTTATACTTTCAAGAATTGGAGTGTAGGCCAGAGATGTGGAGGATATGAGGGTTCACCAGATACAGAGTGAGGAGCAGAACAGGCAGATAGACTGAAATACACTGCTGAGGTGAGCAGTGGAGAGATGAGAGGTTTGCCTTGCCAAGTGTGTCAGAGACCTGTCCAGGGCTTCAGGTAGCTTCATAGTGCTGAGCTTAACCCCTTGTGCCACCAGGAGGCCCCTGTTGTTAGTTTTTTTAATGTGGGCTATTCTTATTAGTGTTAAGAACATAACACAGGTTTGCTAACATGACAGTATATAAATCAATACCAGGAAAAAATATTTTCAAAATTATAGAAGCATTAGTAGTAGTAGTATAAATCACTACTAACATTAAAGTTTCTATTTATGATTATAGTCAAGATCTAAATCTAATTGAAGAAATACGAGATTTCAGCTCATAGAGAATTCATTCTTGGACCCAAGATGAAAAAATTTAAATCTATACAGAAATAACACTTTATTTTTCCCTCAAGATTTCCTAGGGTTGGTGTTGGTTGATCTTAGGGCACTATTACAACAACAAAAAGGAAAATTGAGACTATACAGAAAGCAAGTTTAAAGAACAGGACTAGGTTTTATCTTCCTTTTAAGACACCTACAAATAGTAGTGTTTTGTCTCAAGAACATGCAGGCAGGGATGGTGGTAAATAAACTGAAAGACAAATATAGGGGTATATTTAATGCTATGTAGGTGATAAACTTAGAGTGGAGGGACAAAAGTCTGAGAAGATTCCCTGGTCTTCAGGAATAAGAATCCAGGATACTGGCCCTCCCTGGTGGCGCAGCGGGTTAAAGCACAGCACTGAGAAATTAAAGCCCCTTCCGCATGAGTTCAGATTCCCGCCTGCCCCGGAGGTGACCACATGGCGTGGCAGACCTCTCCTGACCCACCCGCTGCTCCCCTCAGCAGTGTACTTCGTAGATCTGCCTGTTCTGCTCCCCACTCTGTCTTTGGTGAAGCCTCTCGCCGCCCCAGAGCCTCTGGCCTATACCCCAATTCTGTATACACAAATAAATAAATCTTTAAAAAAAAAAGAAAAAGAAAAAGGAAAAAAAAGAATCCAGGATCCCTCAAGAAATTTTTTTTTCTCAAAGAAGAGAGAACAGAGAAACAAAAATTGCCTAGACTTAAATCATACAGCTACTACATGAACACACCCAAAACCTACTCATGAAAGCCACTCTTTCAAAGAAGAAAATTCTCCAACTCTGAAATTCCCTATGACTTAAGGTAAAGGAAGAGGGAAAAGGCAACTCAATTCTTACGTCTGGCATTCTTTAATTCTCCTGGAGGGCTTTTCTCAATTTTTTTCATGGAAACTAACCTAATTATCTATACTTAACTTTTATACATTACTGACACTGCCTTCGAAGGCAAACTCTCACAAAAATAATCATAATGTATGACTGAGGGGGGAGTGGAAGGCAGGAAAGAGTACTATGTATGTGTGTATATGTGTGCATTTATAAAAACTCCATTTAATTATGCTCGTTACCCTGTGTTACCTTTCTCAGTTGTATTAATCAAAAATTTCCCATGATTAAAAAACTGAAAAATTAGGTTTTATTTTTCCTTTTGCCTAAAACACAAAATTTTACAAGTTTCAAAAGACTGAGTTATTAATGAGCTCACTGAGATGTTATTCTTTATGGTTGATTATAAATTACATATAAAATCATCAGGTTTATGGAAATTAAATGAAATGATTGCAGGATATAACTTTCATATTCTGCAGGTGTTTTTCTAAAAAAAAATCACTTTTTTTACACAGTAAGCAAGACTAATTAATAAGGTAAACAGAAAATTGGTACACCACTTCCAAGTAAAAACACCAGTGCAAAAATGTTAAAACTGCAATAAAATGTTCTTACTAAAAGAGAAATAAATACAAATACTAAAAGGAAAACCTTGCTCCCCCTCCAAAACTGTATTTAATGTTGTGCCACTTAAAAGCAATTTAGCATATTACAAATGCTGTTTATCCAGCTTACAATGAATATTTAAATAATGCATTTGGAATGTTAAACTAGGAAAAACACCAGAGGGGGAAAAGGTTATAAAAAAAGAGTACATTTCTATCACAGATATGTTCTACATGTCAGCTACAAATGTAACTTACAAATGTAAGTTATGCATTTCTAAGTTTTCTAGATAAAATCTAACCAAACTCCTATTTTCGAGAAGCATGTAACTTTCCAAAGATGTACCTCTTGTATGGAGTTATTTTTCTCCAAGATGGAAAGGGCAACAGCCGCACACTCCAGCGTAGAAAGGCACCTGTTTGTTGGCTGTGTCCGAATGACGTACTGACTAGAAATGCTAGTTTTTAACTGCACCTGAAACCAAAGAAAGAATGCAATATTTGTTTTAAACTTAAGCTACAAAATGTTTTTAAATACTGATTAATTTAGTTTCCTTCCCAAATTGCCAGTTTAGAAATATTACATGGGGTCCTCCTGGTGGCGCAACAGGTTAGGATGCAGCACTGCAAGCTCTCTCGGGAGGTGACCCACAAGGTGCAGCAGACCTCTCCTGACCCGCCCGCTGCTCCCCTCAGCTGTGTACTTTGTCGATCTGCCTGTTCTGCTCCCCACTCTGTCTCTGGTGAATCCTATCACCACCGGGGCACCTCTGACCTGTACCCCAGTTCTGTATGCATAAATAAATAAATCTTTAAAAAATACATTATATATGTTAGTACCTTCTATGTATAGTATTTTTTTGTTACTGCTATTTTTGAACTGCATAGGGCATAAAAAGAGTATAACCAAGTATATAATTCTACATACATACGACACAGAACATACATAATATATATATTATGAAGAAGAAAAGATTCATAACCTTCTTCCAGAGAATAGGGACTTGACAAAAAATGATATAAGAACAGGAAAAGTTAAAAGTGTTCAACATGATATAATTTTTAAAGATTTATTTATTTATGCATACAGAATTGGAGTACAGGCCAGAGGTGCAGAAGCGGTGAGAGGCTTCACCAGAGACAGAGTGGGGGGCAGAACAGGCAGATCAACGAAGTACACTGCTGAGGGGAGCAGCGGGTGGTCCAGGAGAGGTCTGCCGCGCCATGTGGGTCACCTCTAGGGCAGGGATCGAACTCATGCTGAAGTGGTGTTAGCTTCTTAGTACTGCATCACCAGGGAGGGCCTCAACATGATATTTTTTTAAGAAGCTCATTCCTTTCTTATACTTTATTTGAGATAATGTCAGTTGACATTATTGTGTGTGTTTTGGAAGTGGAGATCTTCCCCCCACCCCCTTTTAGGTGCTATTACCATGATTTTCTCAGGGCATAAGAATAGATATTTTAGCAGAAAAACGTACGAATGACAAATGGTAAAAGTGTTTAGCAAGACATAATACAAATTAAAATCATGATTTCATTACCATATACATTTACTCCTGCATGAAAGATAATGAAACAATGCAAGTGAACACACAAAACGAAAAGAAACAACAGAATGGTGGTCACCAAAGGGGAAGGGGATTTAGAGTTACGGTTAAAATCAGTAAAGCGGGTTAATTGTATGGCATTGGATATATACTAAGTGACTTTTGGTGGTGACTGTAGTGTAATGCATTCAAGTATTGAAATGCAAAGCTGAATACCTGAAAAGTTTAAAAAGAGAAACAAAAAAAATAAAGAAAACAAAAGCAAACTTTTAAGATTATAGGACAAATGGTGGTCACCAGAATGGAAGGGCAATGAGGGGGGAGTGTAGGCAAATTAGTAGAAAAAGGTCAATTGTATTGTGGTGGATGCAGGAAGACTTTTGGTGGAGATCATAAGGTAACATACACTGATGACAAATAACGTGGTCTACTTGAAAACCATATAATGTTATAAACCAATGTCACCTCTGTAATTTGTTTTTAATCACAATGAAAGATAACTATATATTCACTGGGACAGTTAAAATCAGAAAGACCAGAATTGCCAAAGGGGGGAAGATATGGAGCAAATGAAATTCCCATATACTGTTGTGGGTTAAAAATAGTTTAAACCTTTTTGAAGAATGCCCAATTGACTTTTTATTACTTTATGTTTACTCTTCCTTTAAATTCTAACATAACCTTATAGGATATGATTACTATTGTTATTATTAAATAATGTATTTATATTGATCTAGTTGTGAGTATATAACATACACACACATACATATGTATCTGTAAATGTATAAAATCTCTTTTTAGATAAAAGTAGAATACTAAATACACTTTCTCCATAACATAATAATTTAGCTGAGATCTGATGGGTAAGACAGAATAAGAAGTGAGAAAGGTAGTAGAAAATCAGATGTCAACATTGTGACCTTCTGATTCCTATTTTAATTAAATGAAACCCAAGTAATCTTAGATTCATAAAGTCATGCTCCTAGCCCACATTCTGATCAGAATCACATTTAAGGTTGTGTGAGCAGATGAGAATTTTAGCTTTTGCTCATAAGATATGTACTCATAAGGGATTGGAGGTAGTGATACCTAAGTCTTAACACACAGCAACTTATTAAAAATCAGATGTTCTCTTTAATTTTCTAGTACTCTAAGGTCCTATGAGTCTCATTTCTTTACCACTTAAAAGTCTCTGATTCATGGCATCTTATCCCTCAATCTCTTTCCTCCTTTGGTTCTCTCGTAGACCGCCATAATGTGACAAACACGGTCTTCTATTCTGATTGTTCTTTTTTCAAAGAATTCTCTACAACTTGTATCCTTCCTTCTCAGAAAGAAAAGAGGAGGAAGAGAAGAAGCATAGAGTAATGGAATGAAGCAGAAAAGTGAAGTGAGCATCATGAGATTCATTACAGCATGTATTATCTTTTAAAGTATATTTGACTGATATTATTTTAGGAATGGTCATATTAAAATGACTGAGCATTTATATCAGTGGGAAAAAAAGATACAGAACAGAAAGAAAAAGAGATGAGGAAAAGATTTATCTAATGACAAAGGAGTTAGCAAGTAACTGTAAAAATAATTCTTAGTGTTGATTAGAATAATTTTTAATGATGATTATATATACTAAGAGTATTGATATGAGGACCATCAACTGCTGCCTTCAATACACAATTCCAACTTGTGACTGAAAGTGACATCTGATTACAACAGAACCTTTGGACAACATGCAAAATTCAATGTGAATTTCAGTTTTTAGAATGAATTATTATTTAAACAAGATTTCTATTTCACTGAGTTTTATTTCTCACTGTGGCCCACATGGTTGTGTGACAACTCAGAATCTGAAATTTATCATATATCAGAAGATTTCAGAATATCCTTCAAGAATATCTTTCCAGGATTTCCAGTACCTGGGTATGTTAAAAGAGTACAAAACAGATCTGTCATACTATGAACATGTATGTTCTTAGACCATGCACATGGTATATTCTCCCAGCTCTGATGAAAATACCACTTAGCTCTCATTTTACACTGGGCTCAAGTAATAAATGAGCAAGAGTAGAAAGATAACAAAAGTTTTCTCTTGAGGAGTCACAGGCATCGTAAGAATATGTCAGAAATTGCCTTGTTCTCTTAAACAAAAACTCAAGAACATCCATAGCAACATGAGCTACTCTGAGAAAAGAAAAAAATAATCTGGTGATAGTGTACACACTCACACACTGAAAACCAGGACTATTATCAGGACTTTTATATCAAACATGACAATAATTAATCACTTATTCTCAATCACATCATGGTTTTAGCTTCTCCTCACCTATAAAAATCAGGTAGCTACAAATTATGGTACTGAAAGCTAATTTTTAGCAATAGATCCTAAAACTATTTGTATATACAGGTAATTATAATTCTATATTTTAAATTATAAGTATTAATAATATTTATAAGAATATTAAAAGGATTATCTGCTTTTATTCTACAACATTCTAACACTATTCTCTGTAAGATAAAATCTGAGAAAATCTTATATCTAAATATTTTCAGCAATTTCTTTTAAGATATAGAAAAATTCAACCAGAGCAAAACTCAGCATATTGTTGAAATCTGTATCAAGAACATAAACAAGTTATCTTTTCTAGACATTATACTTTAAATCAAAGTGACATTTTTAGAGCACTCATTTGGAAAAAACTAAAGGGAATCAATGTCATACATTTTTTTTAATTGTACAGTTGTAGAAGGAAGGTAAATGTCACAAAAACCTTTTCTACAACCACTATATCAGTCCAATCATACACAGACACACACACACACACGCAATTTATGCCACAATAAAAGTGAAGATATCAAAAGCTTCTAAACTGTCAATCCAAGAAACATGCATTATCTTGATACCATGAAAAGCTCTAGGATCTTATGATTAACTATGTCACTTTTTCTATTATCATCTAAGACCTTTAAAGTTCTATTTTTTAAGACTTTAAATATAGAAACCATTTTTATACTGTTGAAACCAGAGTAAATATATTGTGTTCCTTCAGAATAAAATGTTTATATAATGTTTTATAATGACATATCTCATAACATGTTTCCATTTAATTACAGCTTCTAAAAGCAATCCTACAAAAGATAAAGTGTCTTGCAGACAAAGGGTATTCATTATACAACTTATAAAATTAACTTTTACTTAAGATGAGTGATTTTGGAATTGTTTAAGAATACCACATTTGAGTTATGCACAAACTATATCTGTAACAATATTGTATGTATTAGTTGTCTTTTGACCAAAGTTCAGCTTTAGTTGTAAAATTTAGCAATACAGGAACTCCCTGGCAGGGCAAGAGGTTAAAGTAAAGCCCTGTGAAGCAAGCCTTAGCCACTGTAGCAGGAGTTCGATCCCCAGCCAGGGAGCTGACCCACAGGGCACAGCAGACCTCTCCTATCTTGCCCACTGCTGCTCCCCTTAGTAGTGTATTTCAGTATACATGCCTGCCTTGTTCCCCACTCTGTCTCTGGTGACTCCTCTCACCCCTGTATCTCTGACCTGTACCCCAGTTCTTATATACATCAACAAATAAATCTTTAAAACATATTTTAGGGCCCTCCCTGGTGGCGCAGCGGGTTAAAGCAC